TTTAATATTATTATTGTATAATTGCCTGCCGAATGTACTAAAGCGATTATTTCCAAATTCGCCATTCGATAATTAAATCTCGAATAAATTATGAATCGGTTAGTCGTGACTGGCAGTGCTTCGGCTCGCGCTCTCTCCGCGCCTCCGCCAAACGGTTTGGATCCAGTGTTGCCAATTTGGGGATTTTGTCGCACACCACAATTTCATTAGAAGCATCAATCAAGATGGCGGAGAAAAAATGAAACATCTTGTTTTAACCACGGACACAAAAGTTATACCACAATTCATGCACAGTCATGTCAACCAGATACCGAGAGAGAGACACAGTGCATCATCGTGTCATGTGTGCTGGGATGCAGTATTTTGCACTTACTTTGTAGTAATAGAGTGTGTTGACTGAAATAAGTTTTTATGAATAAAGTTTTTGTTTTTGGAGAATTATAATATCTCTTATCTGTTGTATTTGAGCAGGACAGGGATGCACTTTGGTGACACATAAAACAAAGAAACAACTTACTGATGATGCATTCTTTGTACAGGCAAGCAGATGAACCCAGAATATAAATGCAACATGCAAAGTTTCACATTAAATTTTCCCATAGAAAACCATTATTGAAAAAAATACACGGAACCATTAGCACATTACATTCATATTACGGTTTCGTCTGTGAAATCGATAATCAATAAGGTCACTCTAGCCCGGCCTCAGCGCACGCTATCCCGGCCTCAGCTCACTCTAGCCCGGCCTCAGCTCACTCTAGCCCGGCCTCAGCTCTCTACCGGGGCTTCGGCTCACGCTAGGCCGCTGTGTTTTTCGTTGTGAAAGCGAAACTACTTTGTTTGGTCTTCCAAAAGAGGACGATATCCGCTTCGTCATGCCTAGAGCTGATCTGTGCTGGTCGCTGAGGGAATACATCAACTTTCACCGTGGACGAAGCGGAATCCAGCCCGGGGTCCGTCACATGTGGTTGCCGCTCATTCGTCGGATCCGCTGGGCGCGCCATTCTCGACCTCGCCGCCTTAGCTCACTGTAGCCCGGCCTCAGCTCACTCTATCCCGGCCTCAGCGCACGCTATCGAGAGTTTTATGTTTACGCGGCACGATGCAACGCAACACGTAAAAAGACAGTATAAGTCATTATAATCCATAATTATGTCCCCACTGGATGCAACAAATGCCTCGTTTGTAATGGGTTTTAATGTTTTTGTCTCGTCGCTCCGGCCGGGACACGGCATCAACAGTATGGTGAGGGGCGTAACATTTCCGTCACACGCTTGAGGTATTCGGCCAATCACAACGCACTGGATAGCTGGCCAATCACAGCACACCTCGCTTTTTCAGACCGATGAGCTTTGTAAAAATCGACGCGTTTCAGAAAGGCGGGGCATAGAGGAGAAACAATAATGTACAGTATGTGGAAAATAATGTGTTTTTTTAACTTTAAACCGCATAAACACATTTCATTACACCAAATACACAAAATAATGTTATTTTTAGCAGCATCATATGACCCCTTTAAGGCTCTTTAAGTGTTTTTCACGACGTTTTGTCTCGATAGTGATTGAACTATTGCGGCAGGTGCTATGGATTGCAAATGGCTAAAACTTGCAGTTTGTTCACATATCTTTGTTTTATTCTTTTGTGAGGTGATCTAAATTTTTGCGGCTTGGAATCAGATGGAAAATTGACAGGCTTGTGCTGCAGTTCTATGGATGTTTTGCCTTCCAGGTCTTTGAGCCGGTCACGTGACTGAAAACTATACATGAATGTATTGTGAAGAGAAAAGCAGCAAGTGTGTAAGAAACAAATCCATCATTAAGACGTCTTTTAACTTCAAACTGTTGCTTCTTCCAGTGAAAAAGTCCATCCCATGTTTTGAACTGTTTTTTGCTGGTGCTTGATCTGTGCATATTTCTCTCCTGATTCAGAAGAGACGACTTTTTCATTGAATTGACTGGATTTCGCCCACGGAAATTCACCGAACAACGATACATATGCCTGCTTATTTCCAGATAACAAAAATATGTTCTGATAACATGTTGCTAACGTTCCAGCATCCAGTTTAATTCAAATGTTTTTTTCTTGTTGATATGAATGTTACAGGTGGAATGACATTACATTATGGAATTCCTGTTTTTGAATGTTCTCTGAACCATCTGAAACTAATTAGTAACATTTAAAATCGTTAGACAAATGTACGTCTAACTGAAATGTAATGCTTCAGAAAAAAACGTTCCATAAACACTATTGTACTTAAGTTTTGAGAATGTTAAAGACCGGATAACTTTGCACGAATGTTCTGTTAACGTCACTGGAGAAGCAACCTTGCTAAAATGTCAGAATGCCAGTTTGCTGAGAACGTTCCCTGTTAGCTGGGTTTGTGAGGAAACGACCTGCTAGCATGATTTCAGATAAGCTGATACTACATGTGGACGCTAAAGGGCGCTGTGTGTCGTTTGGTCAACAGAGAGCTAGAATAAGAAATAGAACAGGATTTAGCATTTAGCTTAGCAGCTGAGGTAGTACATGTTTAAATAGTAATTCTCATATTTTAATGATACAGTGTGTAATTTCAGGCTGTTATACTGTTCTCAGTATAATAATTATAGTAAACAATTACCCAGCAACGGTTTACCTGATACTTTTCTCAGCGCTGCTCAGACTGGACCAATCACAGCTGTTTGTGAAGATTACACAATACATCCTCGAAATTAAATGGCACAAAAATGTATTCAAACGTCTTACATAAGACAAATATGCGCCCTTCTCATATTCAACAATTAGTTTGCGTTTAGTCAGTCAGTTTGAGTTGATTCTGTGCGCTAGAGAGCGCTGTCTGTGTGTGTGTGTGTGTGTGTGTGTGTGTGTGTGTATCGCTGTTGACATTCTGGCCTGCCAGACGATATGAGGTCGCACGAAGCAGTCTGAAGCCTATAATTTCACTCTAATGTAATGCCATCGGGGTTTATTATCTTCCTGGACTACAGAACACCATCTAATGTAATGGTAAGTCGCTGATGCAGTTTTGATTTTTCATCTTTCTGTTTGCTGATTGAGGTTCAGTCACGTCGTTTGCATGATAGTTTACTGCTCTCTTTGATCGCGGTCGTTTTCTCCTTTGGCGTGTCAGTGTGAATATCGAGATATATATATATATATATTGATATGTATACTGTGGTGACATGCTGTAGATTCAAAGCAGATCGTTAGAGTAAAGCTAAGTTCATCCGGTTTGTGTTAACTGTTAGCTAGCGTGCTAATACAATCAAAACCATTGTGATTTAGGACATAACGAATCAGTTCGAGTAACAATAAAGCAGATGTCAGTTAAACGAGGTTGAATTTTATGTTTATGTAATCGTGGACCATTTAGTTTTTTTTGTGTGTTTTTTTTGCAGCCCGTTGTCTGTACAATATGCTGTTCTGAGAATAAAAAGGAAGTTTTTACATCACGTGAGTGAATTAGATTAGATAGATCATTTAAAACTATAAAAAGAAGAATATATGGATGACCTATTAAAGGGTTTATTTAGATTTAGTCATTTAGCAGACGCTTTTATCCAAAGCGACTTACAAATTAGGACAAAAAAGCAGTCAAAACTAACAAAAGAGCAACAATATATAAGTGCAAATGACAAGTCTCGGTTAGCCTAACGCAGTACACGTAGCAAATTATTTAGGGTTGAAGGTTGAAATATAGTTTTGTATGCATTTAATACTAAATCCAAATGTGACTAAATGTAACTAAATATAGACTATATAAATATAAGCTGCTCTTGCCCCGCCCCGTTTAACTTATTTTTACGCTACGAGCGATTTTTTTTGTACCCCGATTTACTGTGTTTTTTGTTCTAATTTATTGCATCATTAATTTATAATAATATCCATATTTAACAGAGTTTAGTAAATTGAAAATTGTTACTGTTACTACTTTCATTCAGCGATATCCCAGAAAGCAACCAGTTTCGGCCCAGATCCGGCCCACATCTGGCCCGCGTGGATTTCACACGGGCCAGATGTGGGCCGGTGTTGTGCCGAATTCTGCACCCCTGCCAGATTCTGCACCCCCTCATTGAAGTCGCTAACTGATTGCCTAATTCCAACCCCACCCCTAATTCTAACCCCTCCCCCACACCTACTCCTAAACCTACCAATACTAGGGGGTGCATAATCTGGCAGGGTGCAAATTTCGGCACTACACCGGATCTGGGCCAACAATATGTTGCTGTCTGGGATGTGTCGAAATAGTGTGCTTAGGTTAGGAGCGTGTGGGCGTGGTTTATTGAAACATGGGCGTGGTTTATCTGTGTTTATGAGAGACTAGCGACAGCAAATGGTATTTACATTACAACAGCATTTTGGTGGCCTGAAAACGTTTGAAAATGTGATTCAAAGTGCACAGTTTTGAAAAGGATACTGTTATTGTCTCTGTCTAAACTTAAAAAAAAAAAACCCTGCAAATTTGTGAAAACGGTGAAGTCATGCACATGCATAGTACGCGTTCATGCAGTGTTTCTTTATAATGTGACGTCGCCAACTACTGGCCTGGCATGAATAATACAGCGTTTTTAGTCGTTTTCGCACATCTGTGTGAACGGGGATTGTTTTGTCTTCTAGGGCTGCACGATAAATCGAAATGGAATCGAGATGGCGATTCGACAGAAGCTGTGATTGTCATGCGTATCTTTCAGTGAAGCACGGTTCTGTGATCAGCAGTAAATCTCCATCCAAAGGCCAGAGGGCGCTCTCGCGCTGAAAGTGAGTTTGGAGTAAAAATATGTTATTAAATGTGGTATTTTCACATGCTTTCAGATGGAGCAGCATTTACTTCATAGAGCCGTAGTTCACTGAGAAGCAAACAGCTGTCATTATCGCGAACGATTTCTTCCATTTCAGAATCGCGCAATAAAATCGTCAGCGATTTTATTTTTTATTTTTGCGTAACTTGTCGGTGAACTACAGCTCTGTGTAGTAAATGCTGCTCCATCTGAAAGCACGTGATGATGATTTACTACTAATCACAGAACCGGCTTTACTAACAAAATGCGCATGACAATCGCATTCGATTAAT